TGCTTGCAAGGGCGGTGCGAGTGCTACGGAGGACTCGCGGGGACGAGGTGCGAGGCGTGCAGGAGAAACCGATACGGAGGCGAGTGCGAGGGAGGGTGCATAGCCAAGGTCAACTGCAGCGGACACGGGCGGTGTCGGGGGAGGGACGGCTCGTGCAGGTAGGGCGGGGGAGAGGAGAGAGCCAGGAAGGAGGACGGGGAGGGAAGGGAGAGCACGAGAGGAGAGAGCCCGGTTGTGGATCGTTTTGCTTCATGGTTTGAATCGTTTTGCAGGTGCTTCTCTGGGTTTTTTGGTGCTCGATGTGACTCGCTTGCTGATTGTCTTTTTGCTGAAAATATTTCAACATGCAACAAAACTTGCCATCTGGATTTTACGAGCAAAATATCGAGTATTGTTTGCGAGTGCAAGGCTGGCTTCTACGATGCTGAAGCGGCAGCGAGGTCGTCGACGCAGGGCAGCAACGCTACCATCGCTTCCTCTCTTGCAGCTGGGCCGGACTGCCGCCGTTGCGCGGAGGGAAGCTACAGCAATGGTACCGGCTCTACAGTGTGTGCCGAGTGCCCAGCCCACACTGTCTCTGCTGCAGGCAGCTCTTACATATGGGAGTGCAAGTGCCAGGCAGGCTTCTACGATGAAAGCCCTCCTGCCAACACATCGGGCGCAAGGCGCTGGGGGCCAAGTTGCATCCCTTGTGCTTCCGGGTCCTACAGCGATGTAGAGGGATCGACAACCTGCACAGCTTGCCCCGAAGGCATGACCTCGAGGCTTACAGGCAGCGCAAGCATCCTTGATTGTCGTTGCACGAGCGGCAAGTACATGGACCCTAAGAGCGGGGCTTGCCTAGCCTGTCCAGGGGGTACATACAACAACGAAAGCCGGCTGACGTTCTGTCAACACTGTCCGGATGACATGGAGTCAGCACCGGGCTCCTCCAGCGTAGACGACTGTAAGTGCACCATGGGCTTCGTGAGCGGTCTGAATGGATCTACTGGCTGTCACGGGTGTCCAGCAGGATCCTACAATGACGTAGTCGGGGCGACGTATTGCAAGAGCTGCGGGAGCCATCAAAGCTCCCCTGCGCAGAGCACATCCATCGCTGCATGTCAATGCTTACTAGGCTTCACGCCTGGCAGCGCTTCCAACATCTCCGCAAGGGGGCAGCAGCCGCTCGATCGCTACGGCTGCGATCCGTGCAAGCCAGGCACCTACAAGGCGGGACCAGGCAACGAGGAGTGTGCGGTGTGTCCGGGAGGATCTTACTCGTCCATGGGCGGATCGACAAGCTGCACGACCTGTCCCCCGCACTCGTCGTCGTCGGCAGGCGCAGCAAGCGTCGAGTCGTGCGAGTGCAGTATATCAGGGTTGAAATCAGCGCTGGGAGGCTGCTTGGGCTGCCCCTCGGCGAGCGAGTGCGGATGCGATGCAGGCTATATGCTGGCGCTGAGGAACTTTACACTTTTAGCAGGGATCAATGCGAGCCTGGACAACCATTCACAAACGTTTCAAGAGACGTCAGCATCTCC